TCAATATATAGGCACTTTTTATATGTAGTACTTTCTTTATTTATAATGATTTTCTTTATTATTATTTTTATAATGATTGATATAATATATATTTATTAACTATTATTAAAAAGTTATGTAAAAGATCGCTGTAGAAGAAAAATCATCTATTGTTATAAAGTACTTTATTCATTTAACAACAAAAAGCATTAATTTATAACACATAAGGATTCGAGTGATAACGACACCGAATAAGTACGTACTTATAAAAAAATAAAACTTTATTTTCAATATTATATAAGGACTTTAATTTTATTCGGTGCATACGGACCGGCCCAAAAAAAGTGACGCATCTCTGGCTGCCATTGTCACGTTTCTTATAGAACGAACTGACGTAAAGCGCGTTTTGTTAATTGAAAGGGATGAATTTGCAAAAGCTCTATATTATGGTGATTATATTGCTTCAAATATTTTTTAATACGAAACTGTTATTAAATGAATTGCTGCGTTACTTACCATAAATTGAAATACAAAATATAACACATTTTTCGCGATGTACCGTAAGATTTTACGATGTTTGTAGGAATCACAGACAGTATTATTTAAGAAACAAAAAAACAAAACATAGATAGATAGAAAATCCTTTATTGCACTCAAACAAAACAATTTGGTATAAAAGGCGAACTTAATGCCGAAAAGGCATTCTCTGCCAGCTAACCTTTTGTAGTGTGGTGAGAGCTATGGGTAGAGCCGCGAGAGAAAGCAAATCTAACTTTTTTATTCATACTATTCAAAACGCATTATATAATATTATGTATATGTTAGTTTATACATATATACACTTATAGACATACATACATATATATATACACATTATATTTATATATATATATATATATATATATTATATATATATACATATATATTTAAATAAAATATATACTAAACCAATAAAGCATACAATATGGTATACGAAATTATAATAAACATAATCAATAAAATTAATCAAGTAATTTTAAATAATATGCCTCAAGCTTACTTTTAAATGTATTTATTGAAGGAGCATCTTTTAAATCTCGTGGAAGGTTATTCCAAAGTGTAATTGATGATACCGTGAAGGAATCCGAGTAGTATGCAGATTTATGCATCGGGATAATTAGAGTTTTGTTGGTCATCGAATGGGATAAGCTTAAATATGAAAAACACTCTTTTAGATAAACTGGAGAACAAGGATTGTGAAGAATACCATACAAAGTGGTTAGAAGGTGTGTGTTCCGGCGAAAACGGATGTCGAACCACTTAAGTCTTGAGCGAAATTGTGATATATGATCAAACTTGCGCAGGCCAAAAATATAGCGTATGCACAGATTGAGAGACGGTCGAGTTTACTAAGCAGCTCCTCAGTTATATCTGGATAGGCAATATCGGCATAATCAAAGATAGGAAGCAACAGAGAGTTGACTAGCGTAACCTTGGCCATCTGAGGAATAAATTTTTACCAGAGCTTTAATGAACGCATAGTTCCAAAATACGTCTCCTGACCTCATTAACCTGTAGCACCCAACTTAGATCGTCAGCCAAAATTAAGCCAAGGTTCTTAACCTGCCTAACATATTCTAAATCTACACCGTTTAGAGTGACCTTAGGTAGATATTGATAGTCAAGTCGACATGTAATTTTTCTGCTCCCTATGATTATAACCTGTGTTTTGGCAGAATTTAATATTAGCCCATGACATCTTGCCCACTGATGAACTGCAGCAAGATCAGAATTCATTCTGTCAACAGATGAATTTAGGTCATTTAAACTAAAATGCTGATACAGCTGGACATCATCTGCGTACAGGTGATACTTGCTGAAATTTATTACGGAAACAAGTGCATTGATAAACACAGAAAAAAGCAACGGGGATAAAACACCGCCTTGAGGAACACCAGCAACAACGTTACACCAATCGGAGAACTTATCATCAACATGTATGCGTTGCCGGCGTCCCCGAAGATAGGAACTGGAACCATTGTAGAACTGACGATGTTAAATTCAGGGATTTCATAATTGCTAACAGGATGTCATAGTCAACACAGTTAAAGGCGTTACTGAAGTCCAGAAGGACAAGAGTGAGTTGACGATTATCCATCGCGAAGCGGATATCATCAGTTATTTTAATTAAGGCCGTGGAAGTACTGTGCAGAGATCGGAAACCAGACTGAAAAGAATTAAAGAGGTTGTGTTTGTTTGGAAATTTTGAGAGTTGGCCATGAACAACCTTTTCAAGAATTTTGGAGAAGAAGGAGAGGATAGATATTGGCCTATAGTGGCTGAAATTAGTAGGAGAGCTAACATATGTGCTGACCTAGAAGTGTGAATAATATCAATATTTAAATATTGTTATCACATCTAAATTGATATTTTGTAAGTTACGCCTTTTGACACTCGGCTCATATCTAAGGTCATCGTCTGTTTTTCTCAATGGATTTGGCAAGAACTATATACCTCATATCGTATCCTCATATCGACAGAGGAAACAAACCAGGACATCGGCACCACTATTTTCTTCATAACTAACAAATAGTATAATTAAAAAATTTGTACAACCCACTTCAATATAAATGAGTCATCAATGTATTCGAAGTCAATTTAATACGCATTATTAAGGATAGCTCGAAAACTACTGGTCAGATCTTGATCATTTATATTGGACCATCAGCTTTTAAATAAAAAAGAATGATCGAAATCGGTTCACCAAGAATGAGATAACATAAAAAAATACAGTCGAATTGAGTAGCTCTACTATTTTGGTCAGTTAAAAATAAATAAAAAACTGCGGTTGTCGAACCTCTCGCTAAGCATAGCAACTGTGGTAAATAACTAAACAGTAGGCCTATATTCAGCAGTGTACTTTTGACAGACTGTAATGGTATTTATGCGTGGAAGGTCAGATATCGCAATGATCGCTAAGAAATTTTGATCAAGACGCCATGGTTACATGTTCAATCATTGGTCCGGCTCGGAATGTTTGTCAAAAAGTAAAATTCTACGATAGTATAGCCTTACATAGAATGGGGGGTAAAGTTTAAGAAAACACAATAAAATATACCAAATGTATATTTAATTTAAACAAAATTTCCTAATATCCTAAAATTAACAAACTAACTTATAATCACAAAAAACACTAGTTGTACTATCTATTTACTATTATATTTACAATAGTAATTTTCTTTTAAAAGAGACTTGTCTGCTGTATTTCGCATAGTGAGTGTGAGATCCGGAGATCCTTTTTTACTGGAAACGAGGCCTTATCGAGCCTAGTCCTCAGGGGTGACAACGCATCTGGCGTTTTGATCTTTAATCGAGGATAAATGTTGATGTGTATGGGCCACAGCATCTAATTAACCTCAGGTAGACTGTGTGCTCGTTTGTGACCCTTCTTCTATAAAAAATACATAATTATGTATAACGATACACTTTTACAATATTTATTATATAATGTACTTGAGCGACCGTGCCGAAACAGACCTACATTTTATCTAACGTCGAGCAATAAAAAAAATCTCAAGGACTTATTAATATGATAGTTACATATACAAAATATACATTATACATTTTACTATCACCACATTTATAACGACAAATATAAATTATGAGTGTTTTATAACAAATTACAACAAACTTTAAATATTATACAGCCCATTTGGAGGACACTACACATGAGCAGTGTAATTATGTATCCCTGATGGGAATCGTTTGGCAGCGGAAAATCATTTTGAAACTACGTTGTTATTTCATTATGATAATATTGTGTTGCCATGAATAATATAAAAGGACATAGGTTATATCAACTTGTTTTTAAGTTATCCCATACTAGTATTTTCTGTTGTATCGTGGAGGCAGTTCACATATATTAATTGCACAAGAGCAACATCCAGACCCGGAATAATTATTTGTAGGACATGTAACAATTATTTCTAAACCATACACCGCGGTAGTGCCGGTGTCAGAATATCCACTATCCCATATCATCCCGTGGTGTCGTAAGAGGCGACAGAGGGAAACAAATCAGGAACTGGGCAGCAGCGTCTTCCTAATGAAGACTATAATAAAAAATTGCGGTTGCCAACCCGCTTGCCAAGCTTGGCTACTGTGGCAAGTATCCCTTCTATTAAACAATCTATGGAGATGTTCCGCAGTGGATTTTAATAAGCGGTACGTTAAACGGTATACACTTACATATTCCGCGCGGGATTCGAACCCGTAGCCCTCAGTGCCACAACTAATTGCTAAGCAACTACACAAAAGAACGAAACTTAACGTCAAAACTAAGCCAACACACTATATTTCCAGTTTGCTACCGCCAGAGTCTTCCACAATCTCACTGCATTTGTAGAAAGGCAATATGTTTAATTTCATGATAAATTATCTTCTAATAACAGGTTTATTATAGGGAAGCATGCAACAAAAAAAAATATGAATTTCGCAGAAATAGGTAAGAACGAAGATGCCTTTAGATTTTCATATTAGACATAATATTATCATCATTCATTTAGTCCACTGCTGAACTTAGGGCTCTTCATAGATCATTTGGAAGATATTCGACGTAGTTGTCACTACTGGGAGACGGGTTGGCGGCCGCAATCACTTGTGGAAATAATCGATAATCATCCATCTCGCGGTTTGTTCCCTCAGTCACCTCTTGTCCATATAACGTTACGCCTGTTATCAACTTCTTAGAATTCAAATTAATCGACAAAAACCATAATGCTATCTAAATAGTAACAAATAAAAATGTCAATATATCTTCATGACGCTCCTTCTCTTGTCTTTTATCGATGCAATTATACATGACATGCCCTTATCAGTTCTCCGTCCAGTAGTATCAACACACGGGGCAAGAAGAATGACAAGGGCGCGTCATTGTATACTTAGAACTTCTTTCTTGTTACTTCTTACTGCGAAACTTGTCTCAAGGTGATTCAGCGTTTTTTCATGTTCCTGCATTCTAAAAGTGTCACGAACGACACATATTAAAATGCAGAAAATGATCGCGAAGATATTCCTTCCAAAATGCGTAGATTTTTTACCGAAGTCTCGATCATAGAATTCACGAAGCAATACTGTCGATTACCTGTAACAAAAGATCGCAATATTAATAAAAATATTTAAATTGTCGAAGACACAAAAAAGAGGTTGATATAATTTTAGTAACGGTAGTACCGTTATACACGAAACCTAAGCGAAATTTTGTATCATTATTTGATGAACACGAAGTCGGTAAACAAGAAAGACACAAATTTAAAAACTTTTGATAAAATGTTATTATTTTTTATTTTATTACAATAATTTTAAATTACTAGCAACTGCTAGTCTCCACAAGAAATAGTTATACGTAGTACTGTTGGATAGTTATATAAAACCCGACAGCAATTGCGTATGAAAGTAAAGGATGTTTTATAAAATATTAAATATGCACAAGTCAGGCGACTCAGTGAACTATTTCAGCGACATTCAGCCCCAATTGTGAACGTGACTAGAATATAAAGACGCGCTATTGTTCATTTTACTAACATGTCTTCATATTGTATGACTTATACGCGAAACACAAATAAATTGGCTAAATTAGTAACAGTGATGTGTTCCGACCATTTCCATTTCTAATTCCATATAGTGTCACTCAACTCTAAGAGAGTTTCTATTTAGATTATGTTTAATTTTACGTTAGTAAGTCTGTTGTTTAACAAACATGAGATACCGCCCATGAACTACAACATGCGAAAAGCGACCCCCAGCAATCTCTACTATTTTAGACTATGGTGTTTGATGTAGTAAGTCGATGCAGGTGGCTCAAGACTGTGCTTTTTAAATATTTTCTGGGAGCGGCCTGTGTTCAGGAGCGGACTTGTGATGGGCTGCATGCACAGCATTGTGACAGTTTCGCCGTTACGCTGCCATACACACTTCTCTCGTGCTTTTCAGACTTTAGCTTAGGTTATTAACTACGAATTATTACTCTTGCTACAGAATATATAATAATAAATATATATACACTGTTCCGCTATTACACACTTCGTCCACTTTAGGAGTTCGTAACAGTCCTCGACTGGACATAGGCCTTATTTGCTTTAATCGTCTCGCTAGACGGATTACAGCACCAGACGTCACGCCCTTTCGACGCTCCTACCCGTCGCTGGCTCATAGTAACTATTATCTAATCTATGGCCAGCCTTAGTAAATTACGTCTGGTGTGAACAAGAAGGTTATACCGTACTATCGCAAGCTATGAGACTTCATAGATTTCCCACAGTCGCATATTACGACGCCAACGGGACAAACTTTCGTAATTAACAATGAAGCATCAAGAAATACATAGAGATAAAAAGAAACCTCCAGACAACTACATCGACACTAACGCCTAGAATGTCTAACATTGTATGTACAAACGCAACATACCAGGAGAACATAAACTAATAAATGTTACAACTTTTCTAAAATTGCGACCGTCCCTAAGAGGACCGTAAATAAAAATCGGCTCGCTTCCACCGCGGACAGGCTGTCGCGAACAGGACTGAAAAACAATTTGTAGCATTACAAACGAAGTTAATGAGCCGGACATTGTAGATGCTTTGTGTTACGCCCGATCGGACTACTCGGTGACCGTTTCAAAGTGCAACACGATATTGATTTCTTATAATTACACCAACACTACACATTAAATGAAACTTAATCTTTACTTTTTATTTCTCGACATTTCGCCCTCCCACCTCGTGACCATCGTCAGGAATTTAAAAAAAAACTGTCAGTCGTAGGACCTTACGTCAGAGGTGAAAACTTCTTATCTTTACAAACTTGAAAACATTATTTTTGGTTTGTTAAGAAATATTTTTGAAGTGTACGTATATATATCTGAGCGGGACGGTCACGTGTGTTCAGTACCTTTTCCTCATCCCAAAAGTGTCTAACATGCCTGTTTTCACTACACAAAGTTTAAATTAAACGCTATAAAATCCATAAAATTAACATACACATATACAAACATAAGGTACATTTAATGCAACACGATGTTACATGGACATTAATAATACCTATATTGTTACTGTACTAGCACAGTATAAAAATAGTACTACGTAGTACTAGTCCCAACATTCTTATTAATTGAATTATTCTTATGCTTTATCGGTTTGAAAGTCCACTGCTGCACATGGGCTACACTACAGCGTGATCGTCGCGATTGACAGCTGTTTTACCGCAATAAATCCGTCTGGATGTTTTACGCCTGGCGCAAACGAGATGGTTATATCGCCATTTTCCATAGCCGCCTCCTACCTACGATACCCACGGAATAACTTTTTTTATAGGATAAAGATGACAACCGAACACACTGCCCACCTGATGGCAAGGCATTGCTGTGATCCATATACTTTTATCCTCGATGAAGAGTCAAGGTGCAGATGCGTTGTCACTCCAGAGAACGAAGATGAAATGCCTTGTTTCCAGTAAAAAGGGTCTCCCGTACTCTACAATCACCATACAAAACACAAAAGCGTTTAACTGCTATATCACGCCTCCTTCCCCGCTTGAGCTGACCCATCACTGCTACCACTATAATAATAATAATAATATATCCAAAAGAGTATCTAAATTTTCATTGTTTCAGATGTTTACGAACCAACAACTAATGTGCGTTCAAAATTTCAAAAAATCTTGCCTTTAATAAAAAACCTTTGTAACTCGAATGTATCACCCATCCAGTCTCATATCCGGCACACCGTCGCCTCCAAGCCTCTGAGGCCGTCATTAACGCAACGGATAGTGCATCTGTTTAAAAGTGATACAGCGTTATGGATAGCTCTTGCGATTTGCATTTTCCGGGCGTGGAGCGAGCTCGTCGGCGGACGTCGAGTGCTCGCGTCGCTCACGTGAAAAACTGTTTCTTACGTGAGTGGAGTGGTTTGAAATGAAATATTTTAAAATGCATTCCATTTATAATATTTTTATATAAATCTATTTATATATAATTTTTCTGTGAGTGTGTCACTGAACTCCTAATTTTTGTGTGTTTGTGGATGGTTCAGATTTGCAATATTACGCGGTAGGCGGCAAGATCCAGAGATCAACCGTGTAAAGCCAAGGCGCATCGCTAGTATTTTATATTAATAAAAAGGTGTAGGAGCCATGGTAGCTCAGACGGTCAGCGCTCGCCGTAAATTTCACAGAACACGAGCAAACCGTGTTCATTCCCCGCCGGCACCAATGAAATTGTTAATTGCAATTTTAATTACTGATTTACCACTTGCTCGGGCAGTGAAGGAAAACATCGAAAGGAAACCGGTATGTCTGGAAAAAAAGAAAAAGAAATATTTCGAAGACATGTGAAGTTCGCCAACACGCATTGGGGCAGCGCGGTGCACACTTACTTGCCATAAAAACCTTCTCCGAAATGATGGGAGACCTGTGCCCAGCAGTAGGACGTAAATATAAGCTGTAAATTTAATTTTAAAGATGCGTGTTACGCGGTAACGAGTTTGGGGATATAGATTATCCATTACGTCGCGCGTAAAAAATGTTTGGTAACTAGGTGCATCTGCTGGCAGCTGGCAGCATTAGAAAATCCATTACCAAAAATTAACCATAAAATAAACGTAATTATTCACGCATACACTGACCTCTTACATAGTCTACAATTACTTACTCTATATAAATATCACCAATCCCCGTTAGATGAAATGTTAATGAAAGATGCAGAGTCGACCGATGGTGACTCGGGACTGTGCATTGTGATTATCTACAGCGAGGTCTTTATTCAACTGTGGACACTGTAATGATAATGATCATAAATCATAATGATATAAATATTTAAATAAGACTTTTATTTGGATAATATTAATTATAACAATTTTGTAGGGGTGTCGTAAGAGCCGGCAAAGGTAAACAAGCCAGGCGATTATTGGCATCAGTGTCTTATTATATCCTGACCCTTTTTACTGGAAAAGAGGCATTCCATCTTAGTCCTCAAGGCTGACAACGCATCTGCATTTTGATTCGCAAACGAGGATAGATGTAGATGTCTATGGCCCACAGCAACCACTTACCATCAGGTGGACTGTGTGCTCGCTTGTCACCCTGTCCTATAAAAAAAATCCACTAAAAAATAAAACAATCTGCGGTGCCAACTCGCGTGCCATGTTCTGCAATTATTGCAAATACCCCCATTGTGAGGCATTCTATGGGGAGCCCTATGTTCAGCAGTGATTTTTCATAGGCTGTAAATGATGATAGGTATGTTTAATAAACTTGTATTCGTACATACTGCAGAGAAAAAAAAAACAAAATAATTCCTCTTCATTACAGGCAGTGCCCTCCAATAGAAATTATCATAACGCATAACGCATGAACATTTCATTTCATTCAAGTACCCACCATCTCGCATCGATGCAATATTTTTATCTCGGGATAGCACAACCATGTAACGAAGCGAATATTTATAACGTAGTATCGAATATCATGTTATATTTGCACACCTTAATGAAACTTGTACACTTGTTAAAACATCTCATAAATAAAGTCGACACGGGTTGTCGAGTGGAGTAGGGGAGGGAAGGGGTGTTATGATTAGATTGCATCATATAGGTACACATGTCAGCGACATGGCGGGGCCTATAGATACATGAAAGATATGACATAACACAACTGTAATAAAACGTTAGCTGGAGATATTGAGACGATGCGACTCGAACTAAATGAACTACTGCGGTTACACCTATCTGTACCACCAATGTTATATATTTTAATGCTGTAAGCTGGAAGTTATATTAATATGAAAGTTAAGGTATCTACCTAAGTGGATACTGGAGACCATGGAAACCTTCGACCATACTCAAAGTATGGCCGAGAAAGATGGTCAACCCTGATGCCTATAATGAAATATTTCACCGGCTGTGATACTGAATCTCTTACTCTTTAGGCCGCAAAATATCAATAGGTACACTGCTAATCAACAGATGAAATAGGTAAGATAGTGGTACGAACGTGGAAGGACTCCCAGACATAAAAGAAGACCTACAAATGTTTTATTCATTCAATAATTAGAAGTCTCAATAATTTTGCCATAGTTGCCATACTTGTCAGGCA